CTCAGCTGCAGAGATCATCTCTAACTTTATTAACAAAGGATTAAAAAAAGAAAAGGTCCTGAGGAAAGCAGCTTCAGGAGCTAATAGGACTGCTAATTAGCATAGCAATTACAAAGTTCTAAAACTGTTTTTAAATTAATCTGAAATACTCACCCCAGTGTTTACAGTATGGCAAAGATAAACTTAGAAAATAAACAGCTCTTACACATAACTATTTCCTTCTTAGTTATTATGAATTCAGGATTCCAGTGAAGTGTTTGATTGAATGACGTTATGCCTATAGGGCCTGGGCCCTTCTCTGGATCCACCCCCCCACACCCCCCCAAAAAAAGGCAATCCTAACTTCCTGTAAATTGCATTTGGTAACTGCTGGTCCACACTATATCAGATCTCCTTCACCATTCTGCCCCATTTTTAGTTTTTGCAGCAAACATTTTTAAAGAAACAAGACTTAGAAGTGTCATATTTCTTTTCTCTAGCCTTCATCTCGAAATTCTGCCTCGGCAACAACCCCTTTAAGTGGAAACTCTTCCAGACGAGGAAGCGGGGACACCAGCAGCTTAATAGACCCAGACACCTCATTAAGTGAATTGCGGGTAAACCGAAATTTTTGGTTTGATTTTTTTAAAAAAGTTTTTGGCTGCTTCGTGGTATACGAGTATACGAGAACTATTTAACATTTATTATGACATAGTAGAGAGAAAAGGAGTATGAGTTCTTTAAAAAAATTATTACATTTCAAGAATGTGACTTCAGTCTGAAAAGAGATTAGTTAATTCTTTTTTCTGTTCTCTTTCCTGAACTTTTGATGATATTGGAATGAGTTCTGCTAATTTAAAAATGCCAAAAAAGCTTTTTAATGTATATAAAAGTAATTTTCTCAGAAATTATGGGCCATATTTTAAATGGAAAATATGCGGATGTACAAGGAACCAGACTCTGAGAATCATTGGTCTTTTGAGCCACTGTGGTATTATTTAGCTGCTTGAATACAACTATCTCAGTTTTTCATGATAAGACAAGAATAATAATATTTGCAGTAACAGAAATAACTAAGTAATGACAAGTTTATTTAACCCATTAGTTGAGTCTTCACTCTTATCAACCCTTTTATTTGAAAGATAGGGGCTTTCAAAATGTATTTATTTGAATTGCTATTCTTGAGCAATGGGGGAAGGGTAGCAATAAAAATTTCATATTCATTCAGAGAACCAAAAAGGAAGGGTAGCAATAAAAATTTCATATTCATTCAGAGAACCAAAAAGTCGTCTATATAGTAAAGCTGTCAGAGGTTAGGATGAGAAGTGAGTAGCGGCGGGTGTCAGAGAAGGCCGGAGGAGCAGTGATGGGCCAAAGCACAAAGCATCTTGTATGGCAGCCTAAAAGGAATTCAGTTTCACTGTGACAACCATGGGGTATTAAATAAGGGAGTGATACTTTCTGATTTGCTTTCTTAAAGAATGGCCACAGTTTGGAGGAAGCACTGGAGGTGAGAACAGTAACGCTGTGGTTGACCAATGAGGATGAGATGAACAAGTTAAAACTGTGATAGAAAATGTAAGAAGCTTGCTCTGAAGAGAATAGTAGAGGGTAGGAAGTTGGTTGGTCAGTAGTAGACACAGAAGTTTAAGAGAAGGATATTTTTTTTTTTTTAAAGATGGAGTTGATTATTTTTTTCATTGGTTGGATTGAGCCAGTAGAGAAAGATCATGAAGGTTGGGGAAGGAGAGGGGCGACAGAGCAAAGTGCCTGAGTGGCTGAGGGGAATGTCCAGGGCTAAGTTGCATGGGGTAGCCTAATTTGGAGGACCTGTCTCACTGATAGAGTAGAGGAGGAGGCAGGGACCTGTGGTGACTGAGTAAGAGTGAAGTCAGGGTAGGAGCAGGAGTCTGGTTGTCAGATGGGCAGCTTGTAAAAGTGGGATGAGGTTTAGGCAAGGGTGGAGAGGTTTGGAACAGTGGCAGTGCCAGTGGAGGAGAGCTGGCCCAGGTCAGCATGGCCGACACTTCGAAGGTGTCAGTATTTATTGAGCTCTTGCTAAGGACCAGGCATTAGTGCTAGGAATACAAAGTTGAATAAGACAAACTGTTGCCTTTAGGTGCTATTTTCTGGTGTGACAAAAGGCAGGAGGACAAGGCCTTCCAGCCTCAGACTTAGCTTGTGTTTGCCGTTTATTCATATTTCTTCTTTGAGAGTTTGACTACCTTCAACAAAATGAGATTTTTATATCCCAGCACCTGGCTCCTAATAGGCCCTCGATAAATGTCTGTTGAATGAATCAATAAATAAAAGAGACAAACCTACCAAGGAAGGAATGAAGGGGACAGGGGAACTATAATGCAGAAACTGTATAATGGCCTTGGATAATTGATTCTGTCTATAATTGCAGAATTATATTTAGGGCCCTGAGGCAGTTAATTCCCACATAAATCAAGCATCCAGGATAGACCTCACGTAGCAGGGTCAGGTACAAGGGAAATAATATTTTCCACTTAAAATATGACCTTTATTTTTTTATAAGGATTATGATAATATTTGGAGCAAATGCTTTTCTCATTTAAATGGTGTTCTCAGGACAGACTGTCTCATTTGACATTGTGTTTAAAATGTTTGTGTTTAACTTCCCTCCCTTTACATTCTTTCTCTCAAATTAATTTTGGTCAGTGACTAAGTTATTGAAAGGCAACTTTGTTCATATCCTTTTATTGCATTTTTAAAAACTTCTGCATGAGCCAGTAAAATTTGCTGCTTATCATTATTTTACTACATATTTTACTAGTTCTAGGTGAAGCGTTATGCTAAGAATTATTTAAAAGATTTATAAAATTTTAAAAATTATGTGTTAAAAATGTTATAATTTATATAGCTTTTTTCCATATACAGCCCCATCCCCTTTTGCAAATGCTGTTTCAACAGGGGTTAATGCCGAGAAAATATTTAACACTTTAGCTTGATTACTGCGAATCCCTTCCCTAGCCCTACTATCACCTATTTGCCCCTTTTAGTGGTTGGGAGTGGCAGTTATGTTTGTGTGCTTTGATTTTTCTACCTTTAGTCTGGAATATATAAAAGCAATTCACATTTGTATCTGACTCCTTTGAGACTTAAGATATGTTTGTGTATGGTTTTATGCAATGGTTCATTCCTATGTCCTACAGGATATCTATGACCTTAAGGACCAGATACAGGATGTAGAAGGGAGATACATGCAAGGGCTTAAAGAACTAAAGGTATCAGGGCCCATTTTGCAGTCCAAGCATGCTCTCTGTACGCAGAAGTGTTGGTACTGGTGGCTTCACGAGTTCTATTAACACCACTGCACATAGCTTTACTAACAGTGTTTGTCTTTCAGGCATGTGCTTAACCTGCAATGCAAATAGGAAAGGTGAATTCTGTATCTCTGCTTTTGTTTAAATGTTTAGTATATAGTTTTTGGAATATTCAGTATAACATACATCTTACGGTTTTTAAATCATGTAAAATAACTTGAATGTCCCTTGTGTCTTAGTGATTCAAAATTGAATTGGGCGCACATCTAAAAAGTATTCTAAGAACATTTTTTTACTGTGAATTAGACCTCAAAATTCTTCTAAGCTAAATAAGAGAGTATTGCTTATTTCTGTCACCAAATTCAGTCAATATTAAAAGCAAGAGGAAAAAGCATCCAAGAGATCATTATTATAAATATTCCCTCTGGAGGAAGGACCCTGAAGCATGAGGCTTTTGTTCTTTTTCTTCTACTTATTTTTTAACCTAGGTCAAAAAGGATTACACAAATTCAGTGCCTTAAAGATTTTGGAGGTAAATTTAAATGGGTCTTATCTTTACTGAGCAAGTATGACTACCAGTTTTCAATACAGGTGTCCATGTGAGGCAGACAGTTTGGTTATAAATAGCACTTGGTTATCATGCTCTTCCCCATGTTTTTTTTATGAAGTTCAAACCTAATGTGAGGAAACTAAAAGTCTCTCTGAACACATGCATGTCCCTGTTTGAAGTAGAAATATATGTTTCAGGACTCTGAAAAAAGCATAAACAAGGCATTCAGAAAGGTGATTCAGGGTACACCCAGAGCACAAAGTACGGAGCAAATGGACAAGGCTTTCATCAGCCTCTGTGGTATCATTCGAAGTAGCCCAGCTACCAGCCAAAACCTTCATGTGGGTGATTGTTGTCTATAAGAAACTTACAAGTAAGACTCAGGACCAAAAAGGGTGGGAAGTGCTATGGAAGGTTCCCATGAGGGAGGCCTGGAAGCTGCTGATGTGGCATTGTGAGGTTGTCAGTAAACATCAGGAGAATTACAGAGTTAGTACGCTGATGTGCTCATTTAGTCTTGTTGCTCTCATCTTCAGAATTTAATCCCTCTTTTAAGGTTTTAGAGTTACAACTTTTGGAAATATCTTGGATCAGGGGAACAAATCGAGTACATTAAATAATTATGCTCATATTAAAAGTCTCATATATAACGTATGTATCAGGAAAGCAAGCAAGTGATTCTGGGACATTCTTACTTGCTTTTTATTTTATGTAAAACATTTTTTCTTACCTTTTAGATTTACTATTTATTACATTCTTTGAAAGATACGAAGAACAGATTAAATTTATTGAGGCTTTGAACAGATAAGATTCTTTTTCTTAATTCATGATCAGCGGATAATTGAATTTGACTTCAGTTTATATTTATCCTTGAAATGGCTTTTGAGTGGAAGAAAAATCTTTGAAAAAAAGACTTGATGAGGAAGCACAGTGATGTGATGTATCCATAGTCTATTAAAAAAGGATGCTGGGTCATTGTTTATGACATTATTTTTGATTAAGTATGTCTGCCTTTGGATGCTTTTTCCCACTCTGCCCTCTACCCGGAATCACCTGGATCTTGTTAAAACAGATTGCTGGACCCGCTGAATGTGGGTCTGGGATAGAATTGAAAATTTGCATTTTTACCCAGTTCTGAGATAATCCCCAGATTTCTAGGTCAGAACCCATACTTTGAAAATCACTGCTTTAGATGTATTAAAGTAAAACTGATTCTTGATGTTATCACTATATAAGCTAGATTAAATTCACTAAAACTACTTTGATACTTAAATTGAAAAGTTTTCTGTAGTCTGTTGTTTAAAGGAAGAAAATATTATATAAAGTTTATGTCAGATTCATTGTAGTACATATTGTGTCCTTGCATCTACTGCTTGAACTATCTTAGATTCTGGTGTTCATGCAGTTATGCCCCATTTTATATAGAACTGAGGTGTGAAGAGGACTTTTTTTAATGCTATTAGCTCTAAGATGGAATCATTCTAAATTCTGCATTATATTAAGATGCTACTATATTTAAATCATTATACAATTGACTTTGCTGATATTCTTTATTTGGGTTGTATTTGTTCTCAATTCTAGTATAAATGTTGCCCATTAATACAATCCTAGTTTGTGAAGCATTATTAAGTGTGTATGCGTGTATATCTTTATTGAGATATAATTTACATACCATAAAATTTACCCATTTAAAGTGTACACAGCCCAATGTTTTTAGCATAGCCACAGAATAAGTAGTACAACTATCACCACAACCCAATTTTAGAACATTTTCATCACCCCCATAAGAAACCCCATACTAATTTCTAGTCATTTCCTACTCTTCCTTTCCAGCTCCCACACGCAGTCCTAGAGAACTACTAATCTATTTTCTGTCTCTGTGGATTTACCTATTCTGGACATTTGATATAAATGAAATTATACAATACGTTGTCTTATGTTATTGACTTTTCATTTGGCATAATGTTTTCAAAATTTATCGATATTGTAACATCTGTGTGTGTGTGTGTGTGTGTATTTTATGTCTGGGTAATATTCCATTGTATGGATTTACCACATTTTGTTTATCTATTTGGGAGTCGATGGACATTTGGGTTGTTTCTGATTTTTGACTATTATGAATGATTTTGCTGTGAACATTTGTGTACAGTTTTTGTATAGACGTATATCTTTTCATTTCTCTTGGGTAGATACCTAGCAACAGAATTGCTGGGTCATATGGTAATTCTGTGTTTCCCATTTTGAAGCATTACTAAACTGTTTTCCAAAGCAGCTGCATTATTTTACATTATCACCAGCAATGTATGTTCTAGTTTTTTTGCATCCTCACCAACACTTGTTTCTTTTTTTTTTTTTCATTATGAATTATAGCCATTCTAGTAGGTCCGAAGTGGTATCTCATTGTGGTTTAGATGTGCATTTCCCTAATTACTAATGATGTTGAGAATGTGCTTCTGGCCATTTGTATATTCTCTTTGGAGAAATATCTATTCAAATCTTTTCCCATTTTTAAATTGAATTATATCTTTTTATTATTGAGTTGTAAAAGTTATTTATACATTCTGGATATAAGCCCTTAATTCGATATAAGATTTACAAATATTTTTTCCCATTCTATGTGTTGTCTTTTCAATTTCTTGGTCATATTGTTTGGAGCACAAAATATTTTGATGAAGTCTGTTTTTTTGTTGTTGTTGATAATGCTTTTGGTTTTGTATCTAAGAAACCATTGCCTAGTCCAAGTTCTGTATCATTGATCTTGGTTTGATAAACATTTGTATTAGTATTTTTTGAATTTATTTCCAGCAGTGATGACTTTTTCTATGTGAAATGTCTTTTTTTTTTAGCTTTAAAAAAGGTTACCTAGTAGTTAGCTACCAAACTAGATATAGTTACTAAAAAACAGACTTGTAAGCTATGTTAGGCAGAAAACATAGAAGTAGATAAAATTTCAGGCATTTTATGATAGCTCTTTTTTAAATAATAATTTTTGTATTGCTTACTTATTTAACAATGACTAAAATTTGAATAATTGCTAGGAAAACATGTTTATACATTTATATTAGCATTATGCAAAACAAGAAAGTACTGAAAACAAACATACAGGAAGTAGCAAAATTCAAATGAGTATGAAGTTTACTTGTGTAAAGTGAGGCTGTATTCTGTTGTCTCTTTGCATTCGGAATACCAAATTGTTGTTGAAAACTACAGGAATAACATTTCTGAAAACTGATGATTCTTCATTTTGTGACTCTTACAAATGTATGTTTTCTGCATACTTTTTCATCTTTCAGAGGCTACACTGCGGCTTGATTTTTTTTTTTTTTGGATAGCATAGAGCACATAAAGTTCTTATAATGGCATTACTGGCTTATTATCGTCCTCCTGTCTTATGTGCATGTTACTAAACAAGGAGTTTCCTAAACTGCTTGTATCCTGCAAAAGTTCATCTCCATGTGTCTGTCCCAGGCTATAGCTTCCTGTTGTATATCGTATATATGCAGGGAACATATTTTAGATATCAGGCTGATGACTTTGACTTTCATTTAGGAGTCTTTGTGTGAAGTGGAAGAAAAATACAAGAAAGCCATGGTTTCCAATGCACAGTTAGACAATGAGAAGAACAATTTGATCTACCAGGTAGACACCCTCAAGGATGTTATTGAAGAACAGGAAGAACAGATGGCAGAATTTTACAGAGAAAATGAAGAAAAATCCAAGGTAATCGTTTATCTTGTATCATGTCTTTCTCTTGGGTCAGAGAATTAAAACGTGCCATTTAAAAAGTGCTGGGCTTAATGGAAGAAATGCAGCATACCTGGGAATGATATTTCAGTCAAAACCTATTGGTATGAAATTGACAGACCATAAGATAATAGGTCCTAAAATATTTTCTTGTTAACTTTTTATAAGATTTATTTTATTAAGGAAAAGCTTATGACCTCTTTTAGTTTCCATAAATAGAATACAATTCAAATTTTATCTTTATTTTCTATCTCTTAATTGAGACACTTACAGTCAATTACTTATTTGTTCCTGTTTTAACTGCTGATACTCCACAAAGTTCCAAAGACTTTCAATGTAATGGTCCACTTTTTTCTTTTTCTTTCTTTTTTCTACTCCCCATTTTTCAAGAGAAACTTTTTTCTAAATTATTGGAGAGAAGTTTTAACAGTAATTTAGAAATAGCAGTGTGGAGATATGGGTCAGAAATTGATTGATGTTTTCTTTAGAGGTTTGTAAGTTATATTGTTAAAACGTGCAGATAGAAAATTAAAGCCACTGCCCAAGGTCTAGATGTGCCCTTTGACAACTGTAGAAAACAAATCGGGTTCTTTAAAGAGTTTACTGGATTTTCACTTTTTAAAAGATTGATGTCAGTCCAAGCAGAAGACAAATGGATATTACTACTGAAAAATGAGTTGCCACTACATCGCAAAAATAAAAAAAAACCCAGAAAATAATTTAGGAACTGTGCATTGGTGCATTATTAGAAATAACAATCTGAATTTGTACATATTAATGGGAGACGAACTATTAATATAAACTCTAAGGGACCAGCATTAATACTATAGACTCTATAGGGATTTCTTTTATTAAGGACTGAAAATGCTCATTCTAGTCTGTTTCAGTAATGTTTAAAAAATGTTAGAAGTGTTTGCCAAGGGTTTGGGAGAAGAAGGGATGAGTAGGCAGTGTGCAGAGGATTTTGGGGGGAATGATACTATTCTGTATGATACTGTAATGGTGGATACATAATACATTTGTTGAAAGCCATAGAACGTACACCACCAAGAATGAACCCTAATGTAATCTGTGGACTTTGGGTGATAATGATGTGTCATCGTAGGTTCATCAGTTGTAATAAATGCACCGCTCTGGGCAGGATGTTGAGTGAGAAGGCTTTTCATAGGTGGTTTCCTCTTTGATTTTTCCTGTATCTCATAGGCCGGTTTTGGATATTCTGAGCTACCATACATTACCTAGAGTCCTTGGATTCTTTTTTTGTCTTCCCATGCATTTTTCGTATCTGTCTCTGGCCCTTTACTTCTAGCAGATTGGAAGAAAATCTCATGCTAAGTAATTAATTGTCAGTAGCAAAATGAGTTCTTATCTTTCCATCTTCTCAAATGTCTTTGAGCATTTTTAAAATTAAAAAAGAAATCCTATGAATAACTTTTTACCAACTTTATTTTTTTCTATCATTTTCTAAGATATAGAGATGTCTTAGTATGCATAGTCGTATTTTTTTCAAGTTTTATTTTTTAAAAAATCTTGTGCCTTTGAAATTTGAAATATCTCTAAGCTTTTTTAATGTCCTGTCAATGTTTAAGGTACTATGAGGCAGAAAACATTGCAATAGTGTCTCTCTATAATATATCTTCACCCTGAACTCTCTTCTTCTAACTATAGACTGCCTCATGCAGTAGATCATCCATGTTCAGAAGCATACAAAGAGGTCAAGCACTCTGTGTGTTGCATTATAGCAGCATATGATGAAGATAGAGAAGGACCACTCAATTAAAACAATAATGATAGTAATACAATATTTCAAAATGTCTTTAGTGCTTCCTGATGGGATTATAACTGTATCTTAAATGTTGTTTCGATACCTACTGTAAGGACAGAATCCCTAATTAAGAATGTCTCAAGTATATTATTCTTTTCTTAGTAACTATTCATTTTAGTAGCACATACTTTTTAAAAAATTATTTGAGATTTTAAAAAGTTTTATTATAGATTTTAGACGTATAAAAATAGAGGAGTATAATACACCTCCTTAAAGCTATCACCTACCCCTAGCAACCATCAACCCATGGCCAATTTTGCCCTACTTCCTCCACTCATTGTTTGAAGCAAATCCTCACTATCTCATATTTTAATGTGAATTTAGATATGGCTCAAAAACAACATAGACCCTCTCTTTTTAAAACATAACTGTTACGAGACCATTTTACATCTGAAAAATTAAGAGTAATTCCTTCATACTACATCTCCAATCATTGTTAAAATTTTAATTATCTCAAATATCATGTCATTTTTCTTTTATTTACTTCAGAAAATTAAGATCCAGATAAGTTCCACGCATTGGAATTAGTTGTCATGTCTTTTAAGTCTCTTTTTATTTATAGGTTTCCTTTCATCTCTTTTTTTTTTCTTCTTTGCAATTTCTGTGTTGAAGGAACTGGATTTCCTCTCTTACTAGTTTCTGACAGTCTTACAGATTTTGCTGTTTCATCCCCATGGAGTCTTTAATATGTTCCTTTTTCCTCTAAATATTTAACTCCTTTAAATAGGTAGGTAGGTTTAGAGGCCTAATCAAACATAGGTTTAATATTTTTGGCAAATCTACATCATAGGTTATTTTCCTTCAGGATACCCAGATGTATGTCTGTCTCTCTTTGTGACATTGTAGCTAGGTGCTTAGATCTGTTAGTTGATTAGGGGTTGTAGAATGTGATAGTCTAATTTTGTCTTTACTGCTTTATTTTCTTTTATTATTTTAAACAGTTTTATTGAGATATAATTTACATACCATACAATTCATCTGTTTAAAGTGTATAATTCAGTGTGTTTTTTTTAAATATATTCACAAATATGTGTAACCATCACTACAGTCAATTTTAGAATATTTTCATCGTGTCAAAAGGAAACCCTATACCTTTTAGCTATCATTTCCTTATCTCCTGCTCTCCTCAGCCCTAAGTAACCACTAGTCTACTTTCCATCTCTATAAATTTTCCTAATTTAGACTTTCATTTCAATGGAATCATATAATATGTGAGCTTTTGTTACTGACTTCTTTCACTTAGTATTTTCAAGGTTCATCTATGTTGTAGCATGCATCAGTAGTACTTCATTTTTTATGACTTCGTAATATTCCATTTATTGCATATACCACATTTTGTTTAATCATTTGTGCATTGATGGACATTTGGGGTTTTTTTTTTCTATGAAAAATAATGCCGTGACAAACATTTGTGTATAAATTTTTGTTGTCCTTTCTTTTAAGTATATACATAGGAGTGGAATTGCTGGGTCAAATGGCAACTCTAAGCTTAACCATTTGGGGAATGCCAGATAGTTTTCCAAAGTGACTATACCATTTTACATTCCCACCAGCAGAGCATGTGAGTTCTGATTTCTCCACAGCTTCACGAACACTTGTTATTATCTTTTTCTCTAACTATCCTAGCAGATGTGCTTTTGATTTGTATTTCCCTGATGACTAAATGATTTTGAGTGCATATTTTCATATGCTTATTGACTATTTGAATATCTTTCTTGAAGAAATACCTATTCAGATCCTTTGCCCATTTTAAAATTGGATTATCTTTTTATTATTGAGTTGTAAGAGTTTATATATTCTAGATATAAGTCTCTTATCAGATAGATGATTTGCAAATGTTTTCTCCCATTCCATGAGTTGTCTTTTCACTTTCCTGTGTTTTATTAGTATAAGTCCATCTTTAAAGAGAAATGTCCCCTCATCTCTTATTACTCAGATGAGACAGTTTATGTAGGAAAGGGAAGATAAGGCATGATTTTTTTCCCTTTACTTATGATTTTTCAAAATAAAGAATTGGTTGTTTAACATCCTAGCATAGTCATTCATTATTTGTTTTCTTTTTTTAAATTCATTATGAAGTCAAGAATTCAAACATTTGATGATCTCAATCTATCATAGCTTTTTATTCTTACTGATCTTCCAGTTGTCCGATGTTTAACTAATGTGAACCTCTTCAGGTTGATTCCCAAGTAATTTTGACATGAGTGCAGTTGTTTTTGATAGTTTCTTTGCTATCTGGCACAAGAAGGTATTCCAGGCTCATATGGTGCATTTCCTGCCCCAGACCCGGAAATCAGCTATCTGTCCAAGGAACCCTGGTTCTCTTTTAGTAGAGCAGTGTGGGTGCCAGAGATGCCCTTGTCACCAAGTTGGTCACCGTTTATGGACCTTTTTAGTGGATATATCAAGGAAACATTCATATAGGACATGACATTTTTTTAATATTTATTTATTTATCTATCTGTCTGTCTGTCTCTGTTTGTTTGTTTATTTATTTATTTGTGTTTTACATTTTTTTTTAATAGGCAAAGCAGCCCTTGGTTGACCACACAGATTACAAGGACCTTGTCAGCTTACAATCCCTTATTTTTTAATTTTTATGCCTACAGCACCTGGTCTTCCTAGTTGGTCTCCCATCCAAGTACTAACCAGGCCCGACGCTGCTTAGCTTCCGAGATCAGACAGGTTCGGGTTTATATTTGTGTTTTACATTTTTTTTTAATAGGCAAAGCAGCCCTTGGTTGACCACACAGATTACAAGGACCTTGTCAGCTTACAATCCCTTATTTTTTAATTTTTATGCCTACAGCACCTGGTCTTCCTAGTTGGTCTCCCATCCAAGTACTAACCAGGCCTGACCCTGCTTAGCTTCCGAGATCAGACAGGATCGGGTTTGTTCAGGGTTTGTTCAGGGTGGCATGGCTGTAGACCATGTGGGATATTTAAAAAAATAATTTAAAAGCAAATTTTTAAGTCAAAATACATTATGAGTTTATGCTGATAGTTCTAGTTCATGTTTAGAATGCAAAGGTTTTTATTTAACCTCTTCTGTCTTATGTATGTATATCTTCTTTTTCCCACACTACTATTCCTAGTTCTCAAATTCACTGGAGATGATAGTAATTATGTTATATTCTATTCTCATTCTTTTGTCCCACAGTACCCAGAATAGCAGTACCAATGTTACTACCAACGATATAATTACTGAAAATAGTTAAATGTTGTTTTGTTCTGTTTGGTTGTTATTTTGCTGCTAGGCTATGTATAGTCCAACCATTGTTTTTAAAAGTTACTTGAAATAGTTTCTCTGTGCTTATGCTACTAACTGGATATGTGTTTAGGTTCACTACATTTTATTTCAATATTTAGGAATTGCTTTTTTTACTTTTTATCTTTAAATTATTTTTACTTTTAATCGTGGTAAAAACATATAACAAAATTTACCATTTTAACCATTTTAGATTGTGAGTTCTGTAATGTGTAGTGTATTCACATTGTTATGCAACAGACCTCCAGAACTTTTTCATTTGCAAAACTGAACTCTGTACTTTTTGAACAATTCCTCATTTTCTCTTCCCCCAGCTCCTGGCAACCACCATTCTACCTGGTCTATATGAGTTTGACTACGCTAGCTAGGTACCTCACATAAGTGGATTAATATAGTATTTGTCTTTTTGCGATTGACTTATTTCACTAGCATAATGCTCTCAAGGTTCATCCATGTTTTAGCATGTGACAGGATTTCCTTCCGGGATGATATTCGACTATATACATGTACCACATTTTGTTTATCCATTCATTTATCAGTGGACACTTGGGTTGTTCCCACCAGGAATTGCTTTTTAAATTTATTTTTGTTTTACAATTACATAAAATATTTATATCTGAAGTCAAATCAACAACAAAAAATTCTCAAAGAAGTCAATCTTGTGTCTCTGTATTTTTATTCCTATTTTCTCCTTAAAAGAATTTTTAAATTAACTGGTTTATTCTTCCATTTTTTAATCTGTGATTATATATGTAATATACATGCATAAACATATATCTTGCCACTCAAAAATATATGCAAATATATATATTTGTATTCCTCCTTTCTTATAAAATAGTAGCATACTATAAGCACTGTTTGGCACCTTGGTTTAATCACCATATGATGGTAGTATGTAGAGATCGGCCTCATTCTTTTTTATCACTGTATAGTTATTCTGTTGTGTGGATATACTATAGAGTATTTCACCAATTCCCTATTAATGGACATTCAAGTTGTTTGCAGCCTTTTGCTATTAAAAGTAGTCCTGCAAAAATGATGTACCGAATAGGTCTTTTTTTATTTTTGCCAATGTATCTATGGGAGTCAGTCGTTTGCTGGGTCAAAAGGTGCAGGAATTCTGCTAGATACTGCTGAATTCCCTTTGTAGGGATTCTGTCATTTTGTATTCTCAGCAAAATGTTTGAGAGGGCCTGTTTCCTTCCCCATACTACTTTTCTGAATATGTTGTCAAGTTTTTGGACTTTTACTAGTGTTAATGAGAAATATAGTTTTAATTTATATTTCTCTTAGTGCGATCTTCTTTTCACATTGAGAACAGTTTCTCTTTTTCTGTAAACTGTTCATTTCTTTAAGAAAATTTTCTATAGAGTAGTGTTTTTTTTTCTAATTTTAGAGGCTCTGTAAGGGAGAGATAGTAACTTTTTGTCTCTGGTATAAATTGTAAAATTTTTTTTGCAGTTCGTCATTTTTCATTTTACTTTGTTTATGTGTATCTTTTGCCATTCAAAAGTTTTCATTTTTATTTAGTCTAATTTATTACCCGTTCCTTTTCTTGCTTGTAGATTTTCTAGTCACTTTTAGTAACATTTTCCCCATTCCTTGGTTATTAGAATTCACTCATCTTTTTTCTAGTACTGTAACAGTTGCTTCTCCCCGCTCCTTCTCTCTCTCTCTCTTTCTCTCTCTTTCCTAAATACTTCTGATCATCTGGAATTTGTCATGGTGTATAGTGCGAGGTTTGGTTCCTATTTTTCTTTTCTGTATGGATATTCAGTTATCCCAACATCATTAATTTAAAAGCGTTTTTTCATATTGATTTGAGATGCTTTTTTTGTTTTGTCGTTGTCTAGTATATTTGTATATTAAATTATGTCTATTTTTGGATATTCTATTCTGCTCCATTGATCTGTATTCATGAGCCATTACCATTGTTTTTATTATTTGGCCTTATAATATGTTTTAATATTTATTAAGGCTAACTTTCTTCTTTTTCATTATGTTTTCTATCTATTTTTTCTTATTTTTTTTTCCCAAATAAAGTTTATGATAAAAAAACATGACGGTGTTTTTATTTGCACTGAATTAAATGTATAGATAAATTTGGAGGAGAACTGACAAAGTTTTTGGTATTGACTCTTTTTATCCAAGAAGATGGTATGCTGTTCCATTTGTTCTATCCTACTTCTCTGTCTTCCAGGAATATTTTATATAATTTTCTTTATATAGATTTTGGCTGTATCTTGTAAGTTTATATGTATGTATTTTTAAATTTTTATTTTTCGATATTGTGTTTGTTATATTTTCTCTCTTGATTTTGTTTATATCTATGAAGATTATTGAATTTTGCATGTTAATTTTGTAAGCTCTAACTTTACTAAGCCCTAGTAAAAATTACTTTACATGGTTCCTAGTAATTTTGATAAGTTTGAGTTTTCTAGATATATAACCCTATGAGATGAAAAATTTTAATTTTCTGAACCTTTCCCATAAACTACAGAATTTTTCTAAGTTACTATGCATTAGCAGTTCAGGCATATTTCTGGACATCATACTCATTCTTTGTATTATTATACTGTAGATGTTCCAGTTTGTTGTGTGCCATTATCTGTATAAACTGTATCATTTGTTTAATAACAGGAGTTAGAAAGGCAGAAACATATGTGTAGTGTGCTGCAGCATAAAATGGATGAACTTAAAGAATGCCTTCGACAAAGAGACGAGCTTATTGAGGTATGTATGTGAACTGTGGGAATACTTTATTTTGAAAAAAATACATTAAGTGGGATGAGAGGGTACATGTTGGGAAGGAAGGGAGTTAAAATGCCATGAAGAGTTTACTTGTCTCTTCATATTTGGCTGTACCTTGAAATTTTACAAACGTGAAACATAAAGGCAGGCTTAAACAATTAATACTGTGTACCCTAAAATTATCCCCCCTTTTAATAATAGAAGCTTTTGTTATTATCTTTTATTCCTAATCACATTCTTTTCTAAAGATATCTTAAGAAATGGGCAAAAGGAAAAATTAGAGTACCATTATTCTTTGGAATGTAATGAATGCTGTCTTTTGCGACACGATTTTTGAGGAAGAAGAAACTTGATCTTCACTCAGGTAGATACATTTCTGAGGTGGCTAAATGAAAATGAGAAATTATCGAGATGCCATATATACAAAAAGGCGAAGGTTGGCCAAGTGCTGAGGTTCAGATTTCTTCTGGCAGAGGGACTCTGAGTGCCACAGTGCTGGCAGCATTTTAGGAATGGGAATCAGTGTGGTCCACCAAGAAATGATTTTCAGCATTTATCATCCTTTTATGCCTATTACCTTGCATACCATTCGTTTTCTTTAAATGTGTTTTTTTTCTCCTGAGGTTGTCATTTTTTATGAGTATGGAGTTTGTTGGGAAGGGATCCTGTCCACTATCTTGGTGTGTTTATCAAAAGGCATCTAATGTTAACTTAGTGACGTTGACATGTGAGTGGCATCAGGAAGCCATCTCTTAATGATCCCTAGGACACTTGCTCATCCATGGCCCTGGTTGCTCAGGACCCCCAGCTCCACCCACCCCACCCTTATCCCCACCTTCCTTTTCCTTCCCCCATAGATATCCCTCCCTGTAAATGACTTAAAAACCATTTAATAGAGGAAAAGAAATGACTTTTTCTATCTGTGGATTTGTGTTATGTTTTTTCATTCTTGAGATTAATTGAATTTAAACTAGCCTGGTGAAAGCAGGTAGAATTTGTGAATTCTAAATGCAGATACATAGCCTTTGGAAAATATCAAATTACATGTGAAGTTAGTTGTCTTAGTTTTTCCATATATGGCAAGAAGCATATTATCCAAATTCTGTTTCCTGCTGGTATTTTAAAATAATGTGAATTCCTCTCCCTTTTTGTCCTTTTTTTTGTTTTTGCGTGTCAATGTGCCAGCCACTTTTCATTTCTTTTTCTAATTAAGAGATATACTTTTCCCTTTTTATGATTTCAGAGGAATAATAAAACTGCTTTGAGAGCTGCTTCTCAAATTCAATAGCTTCAGTTAGAATTGGTTAAATGTTCTGGTTTTTAATTTGATGATTGCATTTAAGAGGAATTGTAATGCATGATTTCTATAATTTGTCATCATGGGTTTTTTAAAAGCCCAGGGGGCTGGGTATAAAAACTTTAAAAACGTTAAATTAGTTTTAAGTATTTCTTATGTTTACAATTAACATCTCTTAGATGTTAATATTCATGTTTATGTGTAACTGAAAAACTTTGACTATGACAAAATAATGCTTTTTGGTCTTTATAATCACATGGTAGAGCAGATAAGAAATGTTTGAGTAGAGAAAGTCAGAGATGATAATTTACCAGCAATGCATAAAAGAGAACCTGTTAAACATTAGAGGGTGTAAATTGAGCATCATTGCCTAATAAGAAGAGTTGTTTAAGAATTGCTAACTACTAAATTCTCGTTTTTCTAAACACTGAGGTGAGTATTCATTGATAACTCATGATGTTCTTGCTAGCATAGATTCTGCTAGCAAGTTCAAAATGACGAAGCTGAGATATAGTCCCTCTTATATTTTTTCAGTTCTGCTTAAAAAAATGAAGTTCAAAACTACTGCTTGTCCCTATGATAAGGATCATTTTGTTCATAAGCAAATCTGAATTTCCCTCCCCAGAAATGTCAGCTTTTCCACGTTTAGAAAACAGGCAGTTACCACAGGAAGAGTACCCATGTGGAGCTGTCGATACACAGAGCCCTAGCTGGCGCGCTGCCACATAGCTGTGCTTGGAACAGTGATTCCCAGTCCCCCTGGCTTACTTTCATAGTGGCAAGCCAATGAGAGCCATGTCGCCAAGACACCAGATGTCATCTTTCCTTTTAGCAAGCAACTCTTGCTTTTCCTGTTCATCGCAGACTTTCTCCTTTTGTTAAATTTCTTTATCAGCTTCATTTTTATTGTTTTTCTCCTTCTAACTCTCCCTCCTTTTTTTCTTTCTGTTCTTTTGTTACTTCTCTTCCCTTCTTCCTCTGCAGGAGAATCAACGTATGCAGGAGAAAATAGACACCGTAACAAAAGAGGTGTTTGACCTCCAGGAGACACTTCTTTGGAAAGATAAAAACATTAGGGTATGCTGTGTAATTGGTCCTTGGTCTGAAGCTCATTGATGAGGAATAGACCAATATAACTTACCTTCGAGATTCCTAAAAATCTGCCCTTTTGATTATTTTTAAGCATTTACACAGTGAAATATGAATAAGCAGAAGACAGAAAGAAACTTCTATGGGAAAACCTGATACTATGCATGAAAATAACTCTTTTCAGCCAGCTTTGGCTTGTGAAACCTACAAGTAGGAACTTTCTAAGGAAGTTGTTCTTTATTTCCCCAGGATTCTTATCCAGAAGCAGCCACAGGCATTTAATTCAAACTCTATGGGTAACTTGATATCCTTACATTGCAAGAATTTGGATAAGAAGCAAGAGGCTGGGGAGTGGGACTGGTGGAAAGGTTATTAGCATTCCATAAATCCTTGGTGAGTAAAATAGGAAGAGATTAAAATCAGTTTAATTACGGAAGTGGATAGGAATGTAAGATTGGCCAGACCTTCCAGATTGTGACATCATCTCTAATTATAACTCCACAACTCCCCAGAGCAGGGGCCCAGATAAAGAAAAAGTCTTCAGTGCTTTTTTGCTAAGCCTTACTTCAGGTAGACTCCAAGTGCATAGGAGGCTGAAAAAATTCCCACCAGTTCATCCCACGTGGCCTTTGACTGGCAGCCGCATCCTATGGCACAAGCTCTCCATTCTGCAGTAGCGGGTACCACACAGCCCTAGCTGCCTGAGGCTTACCTTGTCAGGGAAGGGCTATGGTGGAAGAAACAGACAGAAGGAAACCCTTGGCCTAAGGACACAGTGAGAAAGTTTTGTTCTGCCTGAGGCTCCATGGGGTCGGGAAAAGTTGGCAAAGATGCCCAAGAGCACCTGTGATAGGTAGACATGCCTGTGTATGAAAGGCATGGGTCATCCTCTCCATTGTTAGGAGCATCCTGGTGTCCAGTTCTTTTCACACCTCCAATGACCCTATCCTCATAAATAAACACGTGGGGAACATAATTACTTCTTAAGAGTTTGGAAGTCCAAAAGTTTTAAAGAAATAAAGCTACCGTTTAAAGTTTCTAACACTCAAATACCGAGTTTCTAAAATTCTACCCAAAGCTAGAAGAGCCTTCTGGAATATAAATTAACCATTCTGTTAAGAGTTTTAAATTTTTAATTGTGAACTGATTTTTAAAATTTTTTCACTTGGGGAATTTAAAATGAAATGCGAAAAAATATTTGGCACAAAATAGGTAATTTGAAAGTTTAGTTAAAATCTGGTCACTATCTAGAATGTGTTTCTTTTAGGACCTTACGTAATTTTCTTTAGCATGAATCTGCAGGTCCATGATTTATGTTTTGTATGATTATCTTAGTATTTTTAACTGATTATTTTGGACCAGCCATAGAAAAACCCTAATCCTCTCAGTTCAATAAAATAGCTATTCAAATAAAACAAAATTTTTGTCTTACCTAAAAGCTGTGCTGATTGTTAATATATAAATCGACTTTTTAATTTTCTTGGAATTGTTGAGTGAATAAGTAGATATCTTCTTTCTATGTGGTATATAATAATGTGTTCCTTTTCAAAAAAATTTAAAGTTAAAATTTTTGAGGTAATTTTAGATTCATATGCAATTTTGAGAAATAGTACAAAGAGATCCTTTATCTAGTTTTCCCCAAATGTAACATCTTGCAGAACTATAGTACAATATCACAACCAGGATATTGACCTTGATACAGTCAGAATACAGAGCACATTCATCACCATAAGAGACCTGTCATGTTGCCCTTTTATAGTCATTTCTACCACTTTCCTTACCTTGTCCCAAGGCCTGGTAATCAGTAATCTGTTCTCTATTCTATAATTTTGCCATTATAAGAATGTTATATAAATGGAATTGTATAGTATGAATGAAACCTTTTGGAATTATGCTTTTTCACTCAGCATAATTTCTTTGAGATTCATCCAAGTGGTTGCATGTGCCAGTAGTTTGCTCCTCCTTTGCCTTTTTTAAATTAAAAATTGTGGTAAAATACATAACATAAAATTTGACTTTTTTAAGTAGAGAATTTAGTGGTATTAAGTACATTCAGATTATTGTGCTACCGTCACCATGTATCCACAGAACTCTTCATCTTGTAGAACTGAAACTCCAGACTCATTAAACGCCCCAATTCCCCCACCCCACTCCCAACCCCTGGCAACCACCCTTCTATTTTCTGTCTCTATGAATTTGACTTCTCTAGGTACCTCATATAAGTAGAATCATACAGTATTTGTCTTTTTGTGACTGGCTTATTTCACTTAGCATATAGCCACAAGGTTCATACATGTTGTAGCATGTATCAGAATGTCCTTCCTTTTTAAGCCTGAACAGTATTCCATTGTATGAATGTACCACCACATTTTGTTTCTCAATCATCTGTTGATAGATACTTGGTTTGCTTCCACCCTTTGGCTATTGTTAATAATGCCACTATGAACATAAAGTTGCAAATATCTCTTCGTGACCCTTCTTTCATTTCCTGCATAATGTGGTAATTTTATGTTTAATTTTTTGAGGAACAGCCATATTGTGTTCCACAGCAGCTGCACCATTTTCCATTGTCATACAGACTGCACAAGTGTTCCAGTTTTTCTACATCTTTACCAACATTTGTTTTCTGTTGTTTTGATATTAGCCATCCAAACATGCGTGAACTGGTCCTCCCTTGACTTGTAAAAAGACAGTTTAAAAATGGTCAGTGACTACCTAATGCATCACTTGTCTCTAGTTTCTATTTCAAGATTTAAATTTAGTAACTTCACGAAGGAACATGGCCATTATTCTCATGTTAAAGTTCAGTTTTCTTTAGTTCTTCCTTCACTGATTCTAGTGGTCATGCTTCTAGCCCTGAGGCTGTTTCAGACACCAGGTGGCTATGTGTAGAACAGATACATATGAGGATGTCCCTGTAGCCCACCATAAGACTCACACCCATTCTGACTAAAGATAATTGTGCCCCATGAGGTTAGAATAATAAACCTGTTGCCCCAAAGTTCAGCCTATTATTCCTATCTTTCAGGCTTTTTGACACTAGAATTTGGGGATAGGTCAGGGGTGAAGAATTATTTAGATCTTCACAAGCATGTACTTTTTAACCTTAAAAAAAAAAAATTCTGTAGGAGCTATAATTGAATGTGACCACAAGGGTAGTGATTATATGGTCAGGTAATACAGAGGATTTTAGATCTAGCGTGAATACATTTGGTCCAATTATAAGGTATTTTAGTAGTCTTCAAACTTTGTGGTGAAACGAGAAAACTTACAGGATATATTTTATTTTCCCATCTATAATTATGGGAGGTAAAATTAAAAGGTCCAAAAGTAAAGATAAAATCTACTGTTATAAGATGTGGAAGAGGAGCAAATGGCATGTATGAGCATTTGCTAGAATTCCTAGTTTCAAATTGGTCTGTTCCTAAGAGACCTTTCATATTCAGTGGTGTTGCTTACGTAGCGCACGTTGTGACAGTGATCACTGATGCCGTTCCACGTGGTGATGCATGGCTGACCCTGCACGCAGATACCAGTAACCAGTATTATGTTTGTTATTAATGTAAGGGAGTGTTAATATTAGCTTGAAGTATTAGGGTAAAGCCTTGTAATATTAGAAACTCAAATTATTAATTCGCAGGCAGACTCGAGACATGTCATATGGTGTGAATTGTTGAAAGGAAGTTAAGTAGTGATGTTGCAGTTTGGGCAAACAAGAAGTAGAACTTCCCTAGGACTACTTTTCAGCAGCATCTCTGAGATGACAGTGAACATAATTGTGACCTTCACTGAGCTGTGATAGAGAAAAAGTATGCAAGGCTTTTGAAACCAAAAAGAATTGGATTCATTTTCTGGCTTTGCCACTTACTGTGACTCTGGGCCAAAAGGAAAAAAAAAAAAATGTGGGTTTTCAGAGCTTCAATTTTCTAATTCATGAAATGAGGATAAGACAACTACAGGGTAGATAAGTATAATATAGAAGGACTTAATTTATGTGTATATAACAGTTCCTGCCATATAGCTGAAGCTACACAGATGGTAGTTCTATCCTTTCTTATTTCCTTACTCCCAGTTTCGTTGCAGAATAGAATTAGAATGATTTAAAAATTTGTCCAACTACTTGGCCATCAGTAACTAAGCAGTTGGCCCATTTCTAAACCCAACAAACTGAAAGGAAAGTTACCTGTTTTAGTTTAACTTTTTGGATTAATGGGAATGCTGGCAGAAAACATTAAACGTATGAACAAACATGTAGAGAAAGGCTTTTTCAGATAGCCCAGCTGTCGGGTCCCTGCATAGACTGCTTGGGTATGTTTTGAAGTCTGAGTTATTTTATTACACAGAGTAGATCTGATTTGCCACCGATGAACAGTGTGTTCCCGCTTCTGTAAGGTCACAGCAGTTGTGAGATTCAGGCAGCGGCAGGGCGAATACAAATGGCAACACGAGCTGGCTTCTCCTGCGCCTTCCCTGTTGCCTTACGCTCTGCAGACATTGCTTCACACCGCGGACCCCCGTGAGCCAGTGCCCAGGGATGAGCGCTGCTGTTACCCCTTCTATTTTCCAGATGAGGAAGCTGAGGCATAGATAAGTCAATATGTGCCAGGACTCAGAAGCCAGATTCCAAACACATAGTCCGCCACCCTCTTTAGGTGGGCTGTATTATTTTTGTCAATGTGGTTTTTTTTTGTTTTTCACATTTTGAAGATAGATCAGAAAACCAAATTACTCTTAATTGTATTTAATTAATAAAAGAGGTCCTTGAGAATCCCTTTAGAAATCAGCTATTTTTAATTAAATGGTATTTGAGGAATGTTTTGACATACTACTTGGAGAAAAATCACAGCCTGTATTAAAATACCTTGTATAAGTGGTGAGTTTTCTTCTAAAACGTACCCCCTCCCCTTCAAAAAAATCAAGTATATTCTTGAATAAGCTAGTTAAACGTGAAATGGGTTTTGTTCGGTTGGTTGGTACTAAGGATGTCACTGCGGTGCACTTTGTTTTAATGTTACTGCTGTCTTCATCTCCCCTTTCCTGTTTTCTTCCTTGACTGGAAAAGAAAGATTTATTTTCCTGCCTGATGTAATAAGCATGTTTTGCCGAATTTATGCACGATTAACCAGTTTCTATTAAAATTCTCTTCTGGAGACATATATCCATGTAACTTTGTATTTCCTCCCATATCTAACTGCTTGTTTCCAAGCTTTTAATGCTGCCTTGTTTTCTGTGCCTTTATCTTTGTTTATTTGAATTAGGTTCGTCTCTGCTCCCTTTCACTTGCTCTTATTTCTGTGCCATTCTTTTCCTTGCGACCCTGTCTAAAACCAGGCCCTAGAGAAACAGAAAGAATACATTGCCTGCCTTAGGAATGAGCGAGATACGCTCAGGGAGGAGCTGGCTGACCTGAAGGAGACAGTGAAGACAGGAGAGGTACGTTAGCATTAGCCTGGAGCTCATGTCCCTCACTGCCTTTTTCTTCCTTTTGTCCTGTCATTTTTCCTGGCCTGAATACAAACCACAGTGGTTATTCTTCAATCCAGATTTGGTTGGGTTAAGTCATTTCTTCTGTAGAGCTATATTCCATATAACTAGTTCTAACCAGGTTTTACTTGTGCCAAACATGTATTGTCACAGAGTCACCTCAGAAAGCATACAGCTTAGGACCATCTTTTGTGATGGTGGTTTTTTTCCTTCCCCACAGAAACATGGCTTAGTTATAATCCCTGACGGCACTCCCAATGGCGACGTCAGTCACGAACCAGCGGTCGGAGCCATCGCTGTGGTGTCTCAGGAAGCCGCTCAGGTCTTGGAGTCAGCAGGAGAAGGTCCACTGGGTAAGATACTGGTTGCTGTGTTGGCTCGGATCAACGTTACGCTGTTAGACTTCCAGCTTGTTCACGTCCCATCTTGGAAAACAAAAACAGCACAGGGCTGTCTGAGCCTTACCTAGATCCTTAACAGAAGAAATCTGGGCACATTGTCTTCAGACATCCCTGACCTTGGGAGGCCAGCATTTGGGCCATTCTAAGGCCCGTGGGTGGAAGCACTGCGGGTGCACACAGTGGCCTTTGCACTTAAATACAAACCTCCTGTGAAGAGCTAATCCAGCACACACCCGTCCCAGGGAGCCTGTGGGCTGCTAGGTGACTTTCCAAGTATGTTTTCTTCCTGGAACATCTGGTTTTTATGTTCTGCTGTTTATCCCAGGGTTCTGTAGCTTTTTGCTACCTCATTTCTTAAGGCAAGAAACAGATGACCAAGAAGACAGCTATCAGAGGAGTGTTATTTCTAGAGCAAGGCTTCTGAGCCTCTTAAAGATTAAGCCTCTTAAATGTAACCCTTTGAGAATCTAATGACGTGTCTCTCAGGAAACCACACAGATGGCCATCCCTGGCCTCCACTAAGAATCCTGCTCTAGAAGAAGCAAATGGCACAGATAGATAATGCATCACCAGCACACTTTTATTTACTAAAAATCATCGTTTTTCTCTTTTTCTTCTTGTTTTCATATATCTGTAGGTTTCCTAATGAGTAAGGTATAGTGTAAGAGTGGAGGAAGCCGAAAAACTTTTAAAAAGTTAGTAAGTACATTCTCTAATGTACAGAATTCCAGAAATGTAATTGTAGAGCACTTCGGTAAAGCAGAGGGTGTAGCTAGGCGGGTGAGGGCTGCTCTAGAGAATGGACTGACTGCACAGCTATGGGCAGCTCAGCGTTTCCTCTGCTTGTTTGGAAGGTACCGAAGAAACCAGAGCTTATATTTAGCTGTGACCCTAGTTGGTTGTGAGGGGCGCTGGCTAGGTGTCAGCTGCTGCTTTTACACATCTATGGGTTTCCCCTCAGCCCAAGGGGCCCGTTAATGGGTGCTTGAGAAGAAACAGCCCTCACTGCAGGCCAGGAACCAGCCCTAGTGATCCTGCTACCAAGCCTCCGATCAGCCCTTGACGGCCCCCATCCCAGAGCTGCTGTCCTCCCTCCCCCAGTAGACTTTGGGGGCCTTTGCTTCTTCCAGCACTGTCCCTCTTGTTTCCTTGGTTCCAGCTTCCCCTCTCAGGCCCACTCTTAATCCCTGTTTTCTGTTTCCTATTTTGTTTTCTCCTGCTGAGGGCTTAATTAAGCCTGTGGGAGTATCCTTGGCATTTGAGTTGTCTGTCTACGAGTGAAAGCTTGCAGTTTTGAAACAAGGAAATGATCTTTGTACTTCAGTTTGTCTTTAAATGGAAAATCACTGCTCTTGGAAGCAAATGTTGTATTTAGTGCCCTGATAAATATCAGTTGTGTGGAAATATGTGAATAGTTAGGTAGTTTTCCTTAATACCTTTAAAACCTTTGTGTCTTTTGATATTCAGAGTTTTAAGTTTATCAGATAATGTTCGCTGTTTTTGAATTTGAATAATTATTTTTTATTGCTTATTTAATACATCATTACAAATTGAGTGTACAACTTTTTTTTATCTGTTTTAGATGTAAGGCTACGAAAACTGGCTGGAGAAAAGGAAGAGCTGCTTTCACAGGTAAAGGCTTTCTTCTCAGTGGAGGTGATGTTAATTATAACTGACTGAGTCACGTGTTAAAATGGTAGTGAACTAATGTACACCAGGAAAATGTGCTATTTCAAATGTCAGTTCTCAAGTAAGATTTGAAGGATGCAAAGATAATTCCTATTTTACCTCTTTGTTTCCTAGTCTTTAAGAAAAACTTACAGGACACATAGTTTGAGGCTGAAATAGTTCTGCCAAGCTTGTTATGAAGACAGAAGCGCCCGGCTCTGCCTCTTCCATCTTTACCTCTGACCATTCTTCTTCTTTTTTTTTTTTAAAGCTAATTTTTTTGGTGTATATTGTCCTTGTATATTTGTATATAACATGCATATGCTGCTTCTTGATTATTCTGTTTTGGGCATTCTCCGTTGCCATCCCTCTGTGGAAGATGAGCATTTAGCTTTCTTTCATCCGGTGTTCCTGCCACAGACGTACACTTCCCTTTCCCACATCCTTCTAGTAAAGGAACTGTGTCATTCCAGTCTGTTTATGTTATTAGAGTTCTGTAAACACCACTCACAGTGGAGCCATGAAGCTTCCTAGGATTGCCTTTCATCTCTTTCACAACTTTTTCTTTCCTCTAAAGTTAATATTGTGGTTTTTCTTTTCATTCACTTGCTTTTCTATGTGTTTATTACTAGTTTAGCTGCAGACTTTCCAACAGTAGTTTAAATCCAAGCTTCGTGTTTTCAGATGCAGCAGATCCTCCCTCAGTTCCATCCTTTTGATTCTGAGAGCCTCTGACTCCTCCCGTTCTGAATTCCCTCAGTACAGAGGCATGTCCGCCCTTCATTGTCTGCTGGGGTTTCCCCTACCTATGGTTTAGGTTGGCTTCCCTTTTTGCGATCTTTAATGCCTTCCTCCTTTTTCATTCATTCTCTTAATTTTGGTACATCCTCTAGTAACTTCCTGAGAAAAGGGTATGTGGCTGTAAATTTTTCTTAACTTTGGAGGCCTGAAAATGTCTTCATATTGTCCTCTTACTTGATCTAACAGTTTGGGTACAGAATTCGCTCTTGCTTGCGCTCGC